GTAATCTTTTCCTGTTAAATAAATAAATCAAATCAAATCAAATCAAATCAATCAAGATTTCAGTGATAATAAGAACTAATTTCTCCTAAATCATGAATACATGTATACCATTATCTGCAACTCTGAAAAAGGGCAGTGTCAAAAAGTATAGCAAATACACAGTTCTGTGAACATAACACAATTTTATCATAGGTTTAGAARGTCCTCAGTATAAAATGTTTCTAGTTCTACTAATTATACATACTCTCATTGTTTACTGTAAGGTAAATCTACATGAAACATTCAGTTATTAAGAAATGTAAGTGTGTACTGGTCAAATACTAAGTTTTATGATGATGTCATGCCTGACTAAACACTGCCCTCTTTTGGGATGAAGAAATACTACAGCAAATATATGGAGCTAGGTTTACACTTAGTACAACTGGTTTAAAATTAATGTAAAAGAAAAACAAATCAAGAGAATAATTGAGAATTATAACTGTTAACAGTGAAAGGATTTATATACAGACTGCACACAAACTGTTGCTGTTACAATAAATTACACATGATCTGTATTCTCATCTAATTATCACCTGCTGCTAACGACAAAGACAGAGCAACATTGTTTTTACATGTCTGCATGTTTCTTTGTTTGCACTGTTAGCAAGCTGTCTCATGATGAGCCCTTTGAAAAATGTAAAAACAACTCTTAAAAAGTGACCAAAGGCAACTGATTAGATTCTAAATGTAGCCCAATTAGGGATAGAGCTGGGTGATTATTGATGGTGATTATTGATGGAGAAAAACAATCAGGTTGAGCTCAGTGATCAGCTGTGAGCCTCTTCCTCCATCAAACATAATGTAAATGTGTGTAACTAATGTAAATAATTTAAAAAATGTGTGTAACAACAGCTAATCAGAATCCACCTCCTCCTGCTCCTCTTCTGTTTATTAGTTGTTAATGAAATGCTGCTTGTAGGTTTGTTTCTTTATGACATATTTAATGTGAAATTCATTTCTAAAACTTTAATTTTACAAAGCATAACTTTATTAATGTCAGATTCTACGATTTACACATAAATGCTTTTTTATTGGTAAATACCTTTTTTAATACTTTGCAAAAATAATTTCTTGTTCTACTGAACCACAGCTATTTGTTATATTAGTGAAAGTGAAATAACAGCCATTTTTTCTGTAGCTATATTTATTTGTTAAATTTTTTTAGTCACTTTTTAACAGTTAACAAAAAAATTGTGATAATTTAATTTGTCATATCACCCAGCCCTAATTAGAGCTGACCAAATCCTATTTTCCTTACAAACACAAAATTGTCTATAACTCAGTCAATTTTAGAGATATTGAATTCGATGTGGCAGTAGCTGAGCTTCACCCTCACATACAGGTGCTGGTCATAAAATTAGAATATCATGAAAAAGTAGATTTATTTCAGTAATTCCATTTAAAAAGTGAAACTTGT